GGAAGCGGTCGGAGTCCGGTGGGTAGTGTGATTGGATTCGTGGTTGGTTGAGGTGACACGGAGGCCGGCGGCATGCGCGTAACAAAGGCCCAGATCGAGACATTGACATCCCGATCAACCCATGCAGTCACCGCCTTAATCGACAGCGGCTGCATGGGAAGCAGTATCAACAGAGCTTTCGTCAACAAGCATAAATTGCCTACTAGGGCAATAGCAGCCTCTATTCCCATTTATAACATGGATGGAACCAAGAACCAAGCCGGATCGATTACTGAATATGTTGAGCTCAGGCTCACTATCGGTGATCATTCGGAATGAATTGACTTGGCAGTAACTGACCTGGGGACTAAGAAAATATTCCTCGGACATGACTGGCTCATCAGACATAACTCGTTAATCAATTGGAAGACCAAGCGTATCACCTTTGCCCGATGTCGATGCCAGGGAATCCCATTCAAATTACTGGACAGTGACTCCAAGGACAGATGGGACGAAGAAATGGAAGATAGTGAAATGATCCTTGCGATCAACCCTCAGAGGGCCATTAACATTCAAGCAACACACCATGCTAATGACCTAGCAGCGAGGGCTAATGCGGAAAAAGAAGAGAAGACATTCGAGGAGATGGTACCCATGTGGGCCTGTGATTTTTGGGATTTATTTGAAAAAGAAAGTTTCGACAAACTACCTGACATGAAACCTTGGGACCACACCATTGAATTAATCCCTAATGCCAATGCCAACCTAAATTGCAAGTGCTATCCACTTAGCAATAATGAACAACAAGAACTGGATAAGTTTTTAGAAGAAAACTTATCCAGTGGAAGGATCCAGCCATCAAAGTCACTAATGGCATCCCCTTTCTTCTTCGTCAAAAAGAAGGATGGGAAGCTCCAACCAGTACAAGATTATTGGAAGTTAAATGAGATGACAGTCAAGAATCATTATCCACTTCCTTTAATCATGGAGTTAATAGACAAACTCCAAGGTGCTAAATATTATACCAAATTGGATGTCCAATGGGGATATAACAACATACGCATCAAAGAAGGCAACGAATGGAAGACCACCTTCTGGACCAATCATGGTCTATTCGAACCAACAGTGATGTTCTTTGGACTCACCAATTCACTGGCCACTTTCCAATGGATGATGAACAACATCTTCAAAGATCTCATCGCCACTGGAAAAGTAATAATTTATTTGGATGACATTCTCATTATGACCAAAACCAAGGAGGAACACCGAAGGATAGTATGACAAGTATTATCCTTGATGAGGAAACATCGACTTTTTCTTAAAGCCGAAAAGTGCAAATTTGAGGTGTTAGAAACAGAATACCTCGGAGTCATCATCAGCAAAGGAAGCATTCGGATGGACCTCATTAAGATAGCGGGAGTAACCAAATGGCCAGAACCAACCAAGAAAAAGGAACTACAATCCTTTTTAGGGTTTACCAGCTTCTACTGCCGGTTCATCCAGGATTACAGCAAAATAGTCTGACCAATGACACAATTAACCGGAAATTCCCCATGGACTTGGGGAATTTCCCAATGGGAAGCATTTAACGACCTCAAACGCCGACTAGCCGAAGACGTTATTCTAGCCATACCAAGTCAGGACAGAAGGTTCCAAGTGGAAGCCGACTCCAGCGAAGGCACAATTGGAGCTGTACTTTCACAAGAACAGGATGGCAAATAGTGACCCGTCGCCTTTATGTCAAAAGCACTCACAGTAACTGAGTGCAACTATGAAATCTATGATAAAGAACTCCTAGCCATAATGCTCACTCTTGCTGAATGGCAGCATTATCTCATTGGAGCCAATCACACTTTCGAGATCTGGATGGATCACCAAAACCTTTGGTATTTCTAACAGCCCCAAAAGCTTAATCACAGACAAGCTAGGTGGGTGATAGAACTATCAGAATACAAGTATATGCTGCACCACAAAGCTGGAGTGGCAAACAAGAAGGTCAACTTTCTCAGCTGCAGGGTGGATCACAACCAAGGAGGGGAAGACAACAAAGAAGTCATATTATTATGATCAGAACACTTCCGGGCAATGATCATGCCCATGGAAGAAGAAATCTATGAATGCATCAAAAGCGTTACTCAGGATCCCCACAAGTGGGATCAAAGAATTGCCCTATTACTCAACCATGAGCATGGGCTAACAAAAGAAGGAGGACTGATCCGTTATGATGAGCGGATCTACATTCCATGAGATCAAAAACTACGGGGCGATATTATCACCATGAGTCATGATCACATGACTGCAGGACACCCTGAAATTGCAAAAATGAAGGAATTAGTCTTAAGAGAATACTGGTGGCCTAAAATAGACTATGATATCACCCGATATGTCAAAGCTTGCAAGGTTTGCCAGCGAGGCAAGACTTCAACACAACCCAGGGTAGCGCCACTCCACCAAAATGAGGTCTCTTCATCACCATGGACCCACATCTCGGTAGACATGATAACCAGACTCCCCAAAAGTGATGGCTATGATGCAATTATCGTCATAGTTGATCGCTTCTCAAAAGCAATCATTCCAATCGCCTGTTTCACAGAATTGACATTCAAAGGATGAGCAAAAATACTATGAGACGAGGTGTATGCCAAGTATGGCATGCCTCAAGTAGTAATTTCAGACAGGGGACTACAATTCATGTCCAAATTCTTAGACGACTTGTACTGACTCCTAAACATCAAACAAAACACCTCAATAGCATATCATCCACAGACAGACGGCCAAACAGAATGGGCAAACCAAGAAATTGAAAAGTACTTATGGCTCTTCATCAGCTACAGACAAGATGACTAGATGGAATGGCTCACACTTGCAGCATTCCAGCACAACAACAGAATTCACTCTGCAATGGGTAAAACACCGTTCTTTGTGAACTATGGACGGAACCCATCAGTTGCACAAACTGGTTGAGTCCATACAACAATGCTGGCTTCAACCACCTTTGCATCAATGATGGCAAAGATCCATGAGGAGACCAAGACCGCCCTTGACAAGGCTGCCTTAACAATGAAAAAGCAGTATGACAAACACAAATGCCCAGCTCATGAGTATTCAACCAATGACAAAGTTTGGTTGGATACCACAAATCTTCATCTCCCACAGCCAAAACAAAAACTGGCAGACAGACAAACTGGACCCTTCAAAGTGATCGCGAAAATCAGCAAATCAGCATACAAGTTGCAGCTCTCAGCAACTTGGAAAATTCATAATGTTTTTAATGAAACATTGTTAACACCATACATCGCACCGGCCTTCCCAAACCAAGAAAAACCACCTCCACCACCAGCTGAACTCATCGATGATGAAGAACACTACAAAATCGATGAGGTACTAAATCACAAAACTCGAAAGATTAAAGGACAAGATGGAGGCATGAAAACAACCATTGACTATTTGGTCAGTTGGAAAGGGTATGGACTGGAGTCAAACCAGTGAGTCAACGAGAAATACATGAATGCCACTAATGCAATTCATGACTATGAACTGCGAAACAACAAAATTACTATGGGACATACAACAAGAAGCAATATATCTCAAGTACATGATGGATCCACAGGCAGCCTGTGATATATCAAAAGTCACGACATAATGACAGACCCAAATGCACAGTCCAAAAACAGATACAGGCACAGCCCAATGCTCTCACAGTTCGAGATCCTGTGACAGGCACACAAAATAACAAAGGGCCAATGTTTTTATGAATCTTCGACTGATGGATGGGTCCAGCAGGTCACCCACCTCCTATGATGGGGGGGGAGTCATACCCTTAACTTAACCATCGGGATGATGGTCTTAAGGAGAGGGTAATGTTACGATTTTTTCTATTTTCCTATTTCTTTTCCCTTCTTTTCCTCAGAAATGACCTCTATCTTCACTTAGTCAGGGTGCTTAGGCCAGCGCTTAGGACCATGGGAATGCTTAGCTCAGCACCCAAGTCGGTCACTCTCTTACCATAACGCTGTGTGCTGTGAAGGGAGAGACAGTATCCTTTTTATCTTCAGCCGACAGTGCAACAACCACAGCACAACAGCAAGACAACAGCTTTTGTGGAGAGCCTGGCAACAGCAGGGGGAGCAGCTCTACAGCAGACAATATCTTTTGTGAACAGTTATTTATAACGCGATAACAGAACAGTATTTAAGTAGCTTAGTTCTCGCTGTAATACCTCAGTCTCGAACTAAAGTTTATTTTCACCAAACTACTCTCGAGCTCTTACTACTTGAGCCTTGATTCACTTCTGCTATTAACCTCAGTGAACTCAGTCAGACATACCCGAAGTGCGAGGTACCGAACTGTTTATCATGTGTTGATAGTCACATAAGACTTGGGCTTAACAACAAGGAAGTGGTCTATATCATCGGAGGCTCTCTTGAAAGGTCGGGGCTTTCATAATAGGTCAGGCCAACATTAAAGAATGGCTGCATTGTAAGGCAAGGCTTCCATTGGGTTGGGATACTCATCGAAAGGGGGGTGGTGCCACTTGTTGGGTGGTCCAGAGAATGAATGAAGAGAGCCATCGTCTGTGACTGGGCTTTCAGAAGGTTGTTTGGTTCTTTTGACAATGACCCCATTCTGTATGGTGAACCCAAGCTGGATGGCTTCTGGGTCATCTTGGACCAGTTCCTTCTCTGTTCCACTTGTTTCGGCTTCATCAGAGAGTGGCTGTCCTCTGAGAAGGTGAGCTCCCCTTCCAGTCTACAGGTTCCGATAACCGATCAGCTTGTCTGGTGGCCATGGTCGGCTCCTGGTTAACTGCATTGCTGTGGTTTCAGCTGATATGTCAGAGCATGAAAAGGTGCTATGGAGTGAGGGAGCAGTGTATACAGCTCGTTTTAGTAGTGTTGGTGGTGTTCTCAGCATGGGGCATATCCATGCCAATATAGGATATGCTAGCAGCCACTGAACCTGGTCTTCAGGATGCCTTTGATTGTATTAGGTCACAGCATAGTCTGTTGCTGTGTGCTTCAGAATTTCTGTTCATTGGTCAGTCTTGGAATGTAAATATAATTGTCCTATCTGCGATACTACTCAGGTAGCATCATGCCATAAGAAGTTTACCCCTCGGTAATAGTACTCCTGGTACTCCTGCATTCTGGCCTTCACTATCTCCTGTTTCAGTTCTTCTTTGTCTGTCGTTTCTACTATCCCTAGTCTCATGATCCCTCTAGGGCAGGGTGGATCACTGCTTTCAGTTTCCTCCTCCTCTGTGGCCTCATCATTCCCTTCCTCCTTGAGGAGGGAAGCGGCAGACAGGGCGTAGGATCTCACATCCTCTCTTGGCTGTATCATTGTTATGCTGCCCTGGCTGTATGCTCAGCCCAGTAGTTGCAGGACCTGGTGTATAGTTGTAGGCTGCAGAGGTTCATGTGCCAATATCAGAGTCATACCAGTTTCTGCCAGTAGCTCACACTGCCTCCACTCACTCATGATAGAGGCAGATGTTCTATCTGTAGTTGTCATTGATAAGCTGACTAATGACCTGACTTCTGAGAAATCCTCAGAGGGCACAGGCAGGGATGTGGGCATTACCGAGGACTCAAAGTCTGTAATGTCTGAGAATGGACTCGTCACTCCCAATGATAGAGTCTGCGCTGGGTGTTCTTTGAGAAGGGGGATATTCGGGAGTTAGGAGGCTGTCTGCTTGATACCCTGAAGTTCTGTTCCTAGAGGAGCTAGGCTCTCAGAAGACTGGGGTCGAGAGAGAGCCATCTGCTCATATGGGAGCAAGGACACTCTGGACCTCGGGTTGAAGTCCATACTAATTGATAATGTTGGCCCTGGTGAGTTGATCTCTTTCGACTTCGCACTGGCAACTTCGGTTTTGCTCATCGAACTAGGTGGCTGTCCTACTCTGAAGCTCCTCCTCTTCGCTGCAGTTCTCACATTCTCTATGTACTAGCTGTGGGTTATGCTGCCTACATTTCTCTTGTTGGATAGTGTCACTGTAGTTGAAGGGGATGGTAAGGTCCCAGGTGGGGAAGTACCAGTGAACGGTTTCTTCCCATACTCGTCGTCGATGTTCTTCATCATTCTAGGGGTTCCCTCCCATCTGAGGGCTGACTCTAGTGATGGGAGCAGGGCTGTGAGGCTGACTTCGAGGAGTTGAGGATCAGGATTGTTGAGCCAGCTGAGTGGCATCGAGAGAGTTCCAGACATAATTGGCAATCCCATGGGTTCAGGGGGCTGTAGATGGATCAGGAGAGAGAGACTGCTCAAAGAAGTCTATCGGGAGATCCTGATCTTCACCATGAAGGACTGTGTTCAGTACAAGGATGCTGTGTCCTTCTGAGATGCCAGAGTGTTGGTTTCCAGGTCAGGGGGAGTACTATCCTCCCACTTCTTCTTCACCATTCTCTGGATGCAAGCCACTAGGCCTGGCTTCTGGGGGCTGGTAGGTTGTTCATCTGGATTCAGAGATGTCATGTAGAGAGAGGTCTGGGGTTATGTTTCATAGAATTTCACGAATACATAGAAATTCATTGTAATGTCTGAGGGCCCAGGCAGTGATTGAATGGCATCCCTGGCACAGCTGAATGATCACCAACAATCCTATTAATGTTCCGACAATGGAAGAAAGGAGTTCGAAGAACTCATGATCGAAGTTTGGGTCGATAGAAGTAGTGGGAGGCATTCAGTTTCTCAGCACAATTGAGCTTAAGAAAGGGAAGATACAGCTTCAAGCTAATTGTTAGGCCCAGGTGTCACATGAGCAAAACCACATGATAAACAGCTGCCCCTTCACACTTCGAGGGATCTGCCGAGTTCATAGTATTGGTCTTTCTTCGGAGTGACTCAAGGTCTGTAATAGACTCAAGGTAGAATGGTAGTTGTAAACTTTAGCTCGAAGCTGAGGATTTACCAGCAAGAGCTATGGCCTTAAATACAGTTTCTGTTGTACTAATAATATACTACTAATTGTGTCCTTCAGTGCCATAGTGCCCATTGTCCTTGGACATCATTACCATATATAAAAGGTCAATTGTGTGTCTTTAGGCATCAGTTGTCATCGATGATGAACAGGCTGATTGTGATGACTAAGCCTTTCTCACCATCTTTGACTAAGCATAAATAGAGGTGAAAGAAGAAAAAAGAGGGAAAATCATAACAACCAACTGCTGAAACTCATTCAACCAATGCTATGGTCATCACTTGTCACCCTGAAATGAGCCATATATATGGCTCCATCCATCTGAAGTACCTTTTTGTACTCTGCCCCATCATCCTGATCAATGGCAACTCAGCTCTCACAGACCTGACTGCAATCTAAGAAGGTGCTGACCTTCTATCAAAACCCCTGGACCAGCAAAGAAAGTTGAATCCTAAAGATCCAATCCTCTCCTGACCAAGCAAGTGGAAGTGGTGCCAGGAAAGAACTGATCAGGGATGACCTAGAAGCAGTATGGCTTAGATTCACTATACAAGATAGGGTTATAGTTCGAAAGAAAGAACTACCACAGAGAAGCTCAATTATAAATGACAACTCACTTTACTCCTTCCTCAGACCATCACAGGAGTGATAGTGACTCCCATTTTCTGATTGGCCTAACCCAATAGGTGCCTTACCTCATGATGCAGCTATCCTTTAATGTTGTCCTGACTTTTTATAAAAATCTCACTCTTTCAAGAGAGCATCTGATGATATCGACTGATTCTTTATAGACTGCAAACAGTATTTCAAGGTCTATATAGGATATCTGAGTATAGACATAAACAAGGTGGTCTTTGCCATCTCATACCTCAAGGAGAAAGCAAAGACATAGTGGATCCTCATTTCTCTGAGCTTCTGATCATCAACTCAGGAGCACTACTGATATCTCTCATGGCCTGTCTTTAAACAGATGCTCTACAACAAGTTTATCAACCCTGCTATACAAGAAGTATATAAACAGAAGATCAAGGAGTACAAGATGGCTGATAAGACAGCCACAGATGATTTTGATGAACTGAAGCAGTTGGCCAAGCTCGCCAGAATATGGAATGACATCACAAATAATGGAAGGATGGTCAAAGCCCTCAAGCGAGGGGTTCTCTTCTTTTATATCATGATGATCTCCATGATTGGTATCTGAGCCCTAATGCTGAATGATTATGATGAATGGAAGAAGCAGATCATCAAGATGTATAAAGAGCGACAAAGGCAGAAAGCAGAATCCATAATGCTGCAAGACTACATGAAGAAGTTGACACCACCAACTCTGAATAAATTATTGAAGACAACTGCCAGGAAATCATCAGAATCCTCTATGGCTGCCACCTATAACATATAGAAGACTAGAATGGAAACCATATATACAGGGGCAGGAAAGCCCATGGACATAGACTGGATGAAGAAGGAAGGCAAGTGCTTCAATTGTGGTCAAAAGGGCCACATAGTGAAGGACTGCTCAAAGAAAAAGAGGATCCAGAAGGACATCAGGGCACAGATCACTAGTTTACAAAAGGAAGAAGAAGAGCTTGACATGGAAACCAAAGTGGAGGAAGTAAAAGATGCAGCCAGCCAGTGAGTGATTCCACTGAGCTGGCCAAGAGACCTTATAGTGTGCAATTTTTAGCCACTAGTCAGACTGATAGTACTTCTATAGTTACTCCTATGTCTATCTCTACTATGCATCCAAATATACCCCAGACTACTACTCCACACACCAATGAATCACTAAAAAAGACTTAAGCATCTATAGGCCAAACAGAGGCAGTGAGCCTCACTATCTGGCTCAAATCATTTGACACTGAATGGATCTGAAGGGCTATCAAAGATGCTAAGAATAAAGCAGCAGCAGAAGCCATACTAAAAAATTGAGTCCACCAGATATGAGTTGAAGAAGTTGTAGATGAAATGATCAAAGGAATAAGGGAAGCTGAATGAAGTCAAGCTCTGGAGTGGCTTAATGAACTTCATGGGTTATAAAAGTTCATTCAGCATTCCAAGATACTTGGATGAGACTTATTTGCTAAGGCCCAGATCAAAACCCTTATATCTCAGATGACTCATGCAGTGATAGCTCTGATCAACAGTGGCTACATGAGAAGTTTGATCAATCAAGCCTTCATTAACAGGCACAAACTCCCAATCCAAGCCACAGTGACACCAATTCCAGTTTATAATGCAGACAGGACTAAGAATCAGGCTGGTTCGATTACCAAATTTGTCAAGCTCAAGCTCACAATCAGGAATCATTCTAAACAGATTGACTTAGCCATAACAGACCTTGGGACCAAGGAGGTTTTTCTTGGTCATGACTGGCTAATATATTATAATCTGCTAATCAATTGGAAGACTGAGAGGATCATGTTTGTGAAGTGCCACTGTTGAAAGATCCCATTTGAATTACTAGATGAGGATCTGGAAGATCAGTAGGATGAGGAGATAGAGGATGGGAAAACCATTCTCACCATCGACCTCCAATAAGAAATACACATTCAGGCAGTCCACTATGCCAACAACCTGACCACCAAGGTCAATGAATGCAAGAAGAAAAAAACCTTCAAAGAAATGGTTCCTGAATGAATCTAAGACTTCCAAGACTTATTTAAGAAGGAGAGTTTTGACGAGTTACCAGAACTGAAACCATGGGATCACATAATCAAGCTGATTCTGAATGCCAATGCCAACCTGGATTGTAAGACTTATCCTCTTGGTAACAATGAACAACAAGAGCTTGACAAGTTCCTGGATGAGAATCTGTCCAGTGGGCAAATTCAACCATCCAAATCTCTAATAGCCTCACCATTCTTCTTTGTTAAGAAGAAGGATGGCAAACTCTGACTGGTCCAAGACTATCAGAAGCTTAATGAAATGACCATCAAGAATTGTTATCCTCTTCTCCTGATCTCAGAGTTAATGGACAAACTCTATGGCACCAAGTATTACATTAAACTTAATGTTTGATGGGGCTATAACAATGTCTGCATCAAAGAGAGGGACAAATGAAAAGCAGCATTCAAAATGAATCAGAGATTGTTCAAACTAACTGTTATATTCTTTAGACTCATGAACTCTCCTGCAACCTTTCAGTAGATGATGAATGACATTTTCAAAGAACTCATCACCACCAAAAAAGTGACCATTTACCTTGATGATATCTTAATTATATTAAGGATAAAGGAGAAATATTGAAAGCTAGTATGACAAGTACTGGCTCTCATGAGAAAATACAAACTGTTCCTCAAGGTGGAGAAATGCAAATTTGAGATGCCTGAGACTGAGTACCTCAGAGTCATTATTAGCAAAGGAAGTATTCGAATAGACCCCATCAAGATAGCAGAGGTAACAGAGTGGCCAGAGCTGGTCA